GTGGCCTGCACCATCCCTATGGCAGCCTGCACCATCCCTATGGCCTGCACCATCCCTATGGTGGCCTGCACCATCCCTATGGCCTGCACCATCCCTATGGTGGCCTGCACCATCTCTATGGCAGCCTGCACCATCCCTATGGCCTGCACCATCCCTATGGCGGCCTGCACCATCCCTATGGCGGCCTGCACCATCCCTATGGTGGCCTGCACCATATTCATTATATTATATAAAAAACACATGAATCTACACAATAGAACACACATTTATACAATTTATTTATTATACATTGTTTATTTTTTGTATGAATGTATGATTCTGGATGAATGTATAATGAATGTGTATGCATATAATGGAAAACTTCTAATTCATTCATGAATGGGTGGACTTTCATTCACGAAGGGTGAATGAAAAATGAGTACCTCTGAATAATACATTTCATGAATGTAATATAAACATTAAATAATGAAAACAAATGAAAAATGAACGATGTATGAAAAAATGAAGAGGATATCTTTGTTTCATAAATTTTTTTTGCATTTAAATCCATTATTAATTAAAAAAAATTATGCATTAAAAGTGAGAAAAAATCATGAATTCCAAAATACACGAAGGATTTAATTCCAAATTACCGAATAAACGGACTATTGGAACCCGTCGAATAATTAAATATTATAATTAATTATTTACTATTTAATTGGTAGGATAAGAATAGTAAGCGTTGTGTGAATTTTAAAATATACAGGGATTATTGATTGTACTTCTCTGTATGATTGTACTTCTCTGTATAGATTGTACTTCTCCGTATAGATTGTACTTCTCTGTATAGATTGTACTTCTCTGTATAGATTGTACTTCTGCGTATAGATTGTACTTCTCTGTATAGATTGTACTTCTCTGTATAAATTGTATACGGGATATGTTGCATTAAAATCTTTCGATTAAGAACTTCAAGCATTTAAATAATAACTGTAAACAATGTTAAATAAAGTTCCTGTTTAAAATTATAAGGCGAAAAAAGAAACAAAATTTTCGGTGCAATGTGGATTAAAATCCCCGTAGAATTCAAGGTGAAATGCGGATTAAAATCCCCGTATAATTCGAGGTGAAATGTGGTTAAAATCCCCGTAGAATTTAAGGTGAAAAGTGGATTAAAATCCCCGTAGAATTTAAAAATCCCCGTGGAATTTAAGGTGAAATGCGGATTGAAATCCCCATATAATTCAAGGTGAAATGTGGTTAAAATCCCCGCAGAATTTAAAGTGAAATGTGGATTAAAATCCCCGTATAATTCGAGGTAAAATGTGGATTAAAATCCGCGAAGAATTTAAGATGAAGCGATTTAAATCCCCATATAATTTAAGATGAATTGCGGATTAAAATCCTCGTAGAATTTAAGGTGAAATTCGGATTAAAATACCCGTAGAATGCAAGGTGAAATGCGGATTAAAATCCCATTGAATTTAAGGTGAGATGCGAATTAAAGTCCACGTAAAATTCAAGGTGAAATGTGGATTAAAATCCCCGTAGAAATTAAAATGAAATGTGGATTAAAATCCCCGTAGAATTAAATGTGAAATATGGATTAAAATTACCGTAGAATTCAAGGTTAAATGTGGATTAAAATCCCCGTTGAATCCCAGGTGAAATGTGGTTAAAATCCCAGCAGAATTTAAGGTGAAATGTGGATTAAAATCCCCGTGAAATTTAGGGTGAAATAAAGATTAAAATCCCCGTATAATTTAAGGTGAAATGTGGATTAAAATCTCGTAGAAATTAGGGTGAAATGTGGATTAAAATCCCCGTAGAGTTTAAGGTGAAAAGTGGATTAAAATCCCCGTAGAATTTAAGGTGAAATGCAGATTAAAATCCCCGCAGAATTTAAAGTGAAATGTGGATTGAAATCACCGTAGAATTTATGATGAAATGCTGATTAAAATTGCAGTAAAATCTAAGGTGAAATGTGGATCAAAATCCAAATTTAGACCTAACAGCAGACGAAGAATATACGGTATAAATAATTCAGGCCTAACACCAGACGAAGAATATACGGTATAAATAATTTAGGCCTAACAGCAGACGAAGAATATACGGTATAAATAATTTAGGCCTAACAGCAGACGAAGAATATACGGTATAAATAATTTAGGCCTAACATCAGACGAAGAATATACGGTATAAATAATATGTTAGTATGCATTCAAGGTGCCAGGCAGAGCTCCTCATTAGGGCCGCTGCCGGCATAAGATACATCGACTTTCTCAGCTATCCTTAAAAAAAGAAAAAAAGATACAAAAAAAAAAAACTAGCTAGCCATTCTTCGGGGGCGAGATGAACCACCTATTATAGATGAGATAGTCCTAAGTTGCCGCCTGGTGACCCCTG